GTCCTAGACCGTCGATTTTCGCTGTCTCCCGCGTGGTCGGCGTCGACGTATCCGAGTAGTTGTACGGACGGTGTTGTTGCCTTGCTGTAGGTGAGCCCGATCGTCGGCGTGGAGACGAAGTAGAGTAGCGCTCGATTGAGTTCTTCGAGATCTTCCTCTTGCGGCTGCTTCAGATGTGTCGCCAGCTGACTCGCACTATAGGATAGGTCGGGTCGGCAGGTTACTGCTGCGAATAGTAGGCAGCCGAGCTTCTGTTGATACTCCTGGATTTGTTTCGCGGGGAGTTTTGTGGAGGCGCTACTGTTGTTCCCATAGCGGTAGGGAGTTGGGACCGCAGTCGGTGCTAGACCGAATTTCTTCGCGACGGTGCTTGAGTACTTTCCAGCGTGTAGGTAGAACGCCGTGTCGTCTTCCACGATGTTCAGTCCTAGGTACTGGGTAACTTCGTCGGACACCGTGAGAGTTAAATCTTCTTTCAGCTCCCCTTCGAACCAGGTGGCGATGTCGATAGTGGAGCCGATGTAGAGCAGGTCGTCGACGTAGACTATGAGCAGAATGTAATCTCTTCCCTTCTGCAGTCGGTACATGCCTTGGTCATGTGGTAACTGTAGGAATCCGATTTTTACGAGCCGGCCGTGAAGGTGCTGCTGCCAGAGCCGTGGGGCTTGCTTGATCCCGTAAAGGGATTTTTCCAGCTGGCATACTTTTGAAGGGTCGTCGATGAATCCGTGGGGTTGTTCGACGAAGATTTCGGCGTCCACAGGTGCGTACAAGAAGGCGTTTGCGACGTCGATTTGCCGTAGTGGTAGTTTCTTCGTGGCCGCGACGGCGAGTAGGATGCGCAGGGAGGTGTGACGGGAGACTGGGGCGAAGGTTTCTGTGTAGTCGGTTCCGTATCGTTGGTCGAAGCCTCGTACGACCCATCGCGCTTTAAAACGTTCGATGGAGCCGTCCGCGTTGGTCTTAATGCGGTACACCCATTTCCCCGAGAGAATGTTCCTCCCGTTGGTGTTGGTTGTCGGTACTAACTTCCATGTATTCCGGTCTTGGAGGGCTTTTAACTCTTTTTCCATTGCTTCCTTCCATTTCGCCTTATGTTCCCCCCCAGAGCCTGCGACAGGGTCGATGGCTCGCGCGGAGAAGGCGGCGGCGGGTGCTGGACGGAGACCCATAGTCCTAGGATCTGCAGTCCCGTGGCTGTGTGTCGAGGGGAATTTTCATTCCCGGGATAAGCTGCTTCATCACCGTCTTCAGGATCGGGTAAGAAGTTTGGGCCGATGCGTTCGGAAATATTCGAGTCGACGGGGTGTGGTGTAGCGTAGCCTTGGTCAGCGAAGTGGTAAAAGGTGTCGAGGTTGTTGCTATCGAGGGGATTATCTTCATCGAGTGGAACAGGTACGGAGCAGTAGGGGAGTGGTCCGGCAGCTTCCGAGGCTCCAGGGACGTCTTCTTCTGCTGCGTCAGCCTCGGCAGCATGGTCAGCGAAGGAGCGAAGGCCCGCGAAGTCGTCGGTGGGGTTGTCTGAGTTGGCAATGTTGTCCAGGTAATGCTGCAGCGTCAGTCGCTCGTAGAAGATAACATCACGTGATGCCACCGTATTTTTGTCTTGTATGTCGAGAATCTTCCACGCGTGAAAATGTTTGGCGATGCCGAGGTGTAGTCCCCACCGAGCTCGTTGAGTGAAGCGTCCTGCTCGAGCTGTGTGGGGTCTGTATTGTACCATGCAGCCGAAAACTCGAAGTAATTTTGTGCTGCCCCTTTTTTCCGTCCACAGCAGGTGTGGTGATGCGTTGTTGGGGAGCGATGACGAGGACAACAGGTTGTGCAGGTGGACTGCATGTGTCATCGCGTCTGGCCACAGTGTGTTGGGCAGTTTCATTCCCAGAAGCAGTTTTCGCATCGTCGTCTGCAGGGTCCGGTTCATGCGTTCTGCTACCCCCTGCTGCTGGTGAGCATAGGGCAGAGACACCAGGCGTCGGATTCCCCTTTCCGCGAGATAGGTCCTGAAGCGTTGTGACTGGTATTCCAGTGCACCGTCTGACTGGAAACTCTTGAGTTTTGTTCCTGACTCTCGTTCGGCGATTGGAAGCCATGTGGTGAAGGCCTCGAAGGCTTGATCGCGCGTTTTGAGATTGAAGTGCCAAACGTATCTGGTTGCGGCGTCGATGAACGTGATGACGTAGTTGAAGTCAGCTTCGGTGTCGTCTCGAGGCATGTTTAGAATATCGCTGTAGACCTTTTCCATCGGAGCGTAAGTGGGTGCGCTTGGATTGTGATGGGCTGGGAAAGGTTGATGAGGAAGATCTGCTTCGGGGCATGTGAAACACCGTGCGCGTGGTCGTCGGAGTTCCTGGCCGCTCGTCGTCAGAAGGGCGTTGCGTTCTAACACCTCTGCTTGTATTGTTTGTAGTATCGTGCTGTTTGCAGGATGTCCGAGACGTTGGTGCCAGATGTCGTCGGGAGCGCGGTGACCGGGCGAGCGGTGGTAGATGTCGGCGTTGGAGAAGAACGCGACGACCGAGGCGGGACTTCGACAAGCTTCTCGTGTGGCGGGCATAAGTTGGTCTGCTTCCGTTGGCGGTCCTCGTGTTGATGGTGGTGGTACTCGGCTGGGTCCTGCTGCCGATACTGCAGGTGATGGTTTTGTTGGGACGCTTGCTGGTACTTGTCTTTCTTGTCTGATAACTGCTAATGCCCGTGTTCTTTCTGCTGCAGGTATGGTGTTGGAGTGCCAGAAGCCGTCACTGTCGAAGTCGGGATCAAGATCTGGCGGGTGAGTCCAGGCGGCGAACGATACGATGCCATCGCTGTCGGCAGTTCCGCGGTCGGGGACGAAGTCCAACACGAAGACACCGGACTTCAGGAGGGCACGACCGATGAAGAGACCGCCCTTCCCGTGGTAAAGTCGGAACTCGTTGGAGAAGGAGTCGCACTCCAGGTGAATCCCCTTAGCCATTAGTTGGCTTACGCTTAGTAGGTTGTATCCCAGATTGTCGACGATGAGGACTTTGTTGAGCTGAAGAATAACGTTTGTCTCCATTGATTGTAACTGAACCACGCCTTGTCTGTTTGTTTTCAGGTTTTCGTTGTTGGCGACGGTGATGACGACGTCGTGGTTGAGGCGTCGCTCGTGTTGTACGAAGCGTCCGGAGGAGCACATGTGCTGACCGCAGCAACTGTCCAAGAACCAGGTGTTCCGCCCGGTGGGTTCGGCGTTAGCGACTGCAGCGTATGTCGGGTTGACCTGAAGTCCTTGCGAGCGCGGCGGCGGGAATTCCTCTTCGTCTGGTGCGTAAGTGGGTGGTGAACCGGGTGCGCAGTTGTCGATGTGTACCATGCAGTTGATGATGTTGGGTGTTTGTTGTGCAGATGTTGAAGAGCGCCTTGGAGGACTTGCTTGAGTGGAAGTGACTTGTGGGTCTGCTGCACGGTAAACGCGAGGGCGGTTGCAGTTGACTTTGGAGTGCCCGGAAGTCTGGCAGTTGTGGCAGAACGGCGGTACGATGGTGAGTCCTCGGTTGTCGCGTTGATCTTGCTTGCTGCGTCGGTTGTAGTTGTTGTCATTTCTTCTTTGAGTGTAGAAGACTAACTGCTGTTGCTTCCTTGGTTGTCTTTCCTCGAACAGATCCATCTCCTGTTGTTCAGCGTGAAGCTCGGCGCAGAGGTGCATCTCCGAAATTCTTCCGTGGGCTCGAAGAAGTGATCGTGTGGTTCTCCATTCTGGCCCGAGCCCGGCGAGGACAAGTGTCACGAAGCTTTCTTCAGTGATCGTTCCTCCGCACCGAAGCAGGCGGTCGCGGAGGGTCTGGCAGCGACTCATATACTGCATCGCTTTTTCCCCAGTCTTCATCTGTATTGTTGTCAGCTGTTGCATGAGTCTGCTTTGTGTCACGCTGTCGTTTGCTTGGTAAAGGCACTTGAGGTGGTGCCATGCGAGCTCCGCGGAGTTTCCATAGCTCCGATATGTTCTGATGCTCTGCTGCTCTTGTGGTGACAGGTTCCGCAGGAGGACTGTATACGCCAGTAGCGACTGATACGTGAAGATCTCTTGTTCTTTTCCAGTGCCGTTGCTTGGGAATGGCAGGGACCCGTTGAAGTATCCCAGAAGATGCGCGGCCTCCATCAGCAGCTCGAACTCGAAGCTCCAGGTAAAGAAGTCGTGTCCGTTGAACGGTGAGGATGTTTGTAACTTGATGACGTGTGAGAATTGAGCCTGAAGACTGAGAATCTCGTTTGGTGTTTGTTGTGATGCAGCTGCTGTTGGTTGGGCGCGGGGCGGCATGAACTCGAACGTCCCCGGTGAAGAATGATAAGGCGCAAAGGTAGGTGCTTGGTTGTGTCGCCCGAAGGATGAGTTGTCGAGGCTCATCGGCGCTAATCCCATGTTTCCTCCATTGCTCTGTGTTGAATGCGCAGGTGTCCTTGTCTGCTGTTGCTGGTCGAAGTGTGACATGAAGCTGAAGAATCTCTCCATGAGATTCGGGTCCACACTTGAAGAGGGAGACGGAGTCACCATCTCTGGTACTCTTCCTGTTGTTTCTTGAGCAGTCCCGGTCTCTGTCTGCAATCCTGAGGTGTGCAGACCAGAGTTGCCGTGTTGAGTTTCTTGGCCGCTGGGTGAGCCCGTAGAGACTTTCTTGCCCTTGCTGTCCATGTCTTGTAATCAATGAAGTCGTTGAATTGAGTTGAGTTGCAGTTTGTTGATGGAGCGTAGTTGCTGGGAGTTTGGTCTCTGACCAGCTCTCATACCATGTTGGGCTGAGAAAAGCCCTTAGGATCTTTTGCAGAGACTAAGTCCCAGCTGTTTGAGACTTGGAGTAGTGCAGCGGAAGTTGAGGCAGTTGAACCCTTGTACTAGTATGTGAGAACAAGTGATTGATTAAAGAAACAAGCATACAGCAATATATAGAAGATAAGAAAGCAGTTGTAGAATACAGTTACAGGAACGGTTTATCGAGTCGCACAGCGACTCGATTGCCGCTTCGGTTACCATCCGTGATGTTGTAACGGTCAGTCGCAACCTCCAGTTGCGACCTTTCGAGTCCTTTCGCATTCTTTGTCCGCCCCCTCGTGTAACCTCCGTTGACTCGCGTGCTCCCCTGTAATCTTCCTCGAGTACAGTGTTACACTTCAGAAACGCTTAAGTCCTTGAGATATTTCCAACATAAATGAATACAAGTTCTAGTCTTCATCCATCCCAATGCAGACCTCCGGGAGATTGCGGTAGTCATCTTCCAAGGGCTTTGTGACCACCAAAGGTTCTGCACGCCAACGAGCAGACGGTGTAAACGATGAGTCATTCTTAGAATCACAAAAGAAGAGAAAGAAATAGTGAGGCACACGAGGACTTACTCATGGCGGCATCTGACGTAAACGGGAACATCCCAGCATCAGGTTGGCCTCGCGACCTGGTAGAACTTTGGAGCTCTCGGAGAATCTCTGGTGACATCTGCAGACCAGAAAGCCGATGAAAACGCTAACATTTAACCACAACCTACTTACAACCTGAAAGTGATGCAGCGGCCATGCAAGAGCACGGTGAATTGCATGCATACGTACCAAGTGATGGTGTTGACGGCTGGTAATAAGAAACTTGATATCCGCCTTTTGCTGCTGTGTCAACTCATTTTTGTACCTGACAAGTGGTTAAACCAGGAAACAAATGGTATGCACTTCAGAATGAATACAAACGGCCAGAATCACAATGAATCCCTAAGTGGGGGGCCACATACCTTTGGACGAGGGAGAGCAAGCACTGGTGCCAGATAACTGGTAGCTCACGAGTCTCAGAGCGAAAGCGCAGGAAATGCCCAACCACCGCATCAATGACCCGGTATGGCAGGGCGTACTTCTTGTCCAGCAGAAGCTTCATGAAATAACTGCTCACAAGAGGAAAAAGGGCCCAACATACCATGAGTGATTTAAAGTTTGATGGCATCCAGGTCAAGTCAGGATAGAACTGGTAACAAAGAAGCTAAGGGTGGAGCATTCCAAATGACTGGGGGAACTCAATGTTACTGAAAGCCTCCAACCTTCAAGAGCACGAGCAATGCAAAAGCTCTATGACACAAGCTTAGGGCTCACCTGTTGGTGCCAGCATACTGCATCTCCGCAATCTTCATCAGAGCTACACTGCAAGATGAGAGAGCACGGAAACCATGTCAGCTAGCATACATTGTACTTGAAGAAAGGATCACAGCAATCTGACTACTTCCCCAAGGAAAGGCTTTGCAGCTCACCTGGAGTGTAGCACGGGAATCGAGACCTTCTGAATCACACTCCCTATAATCACAGCTTCACGGAGCGTGCAAGTCTGGGACTGGCACAGTGGCAGCAGCACCCCCTTATAAAACGCAGCAGGCTTGTAAACCGCCTTCTTAAGGGATTGGTACAGTGCAAAGTGCAGCTTCTTATTAACCCTAATGTCCCGGCGCACTCTCGGCAGCAGCACCAGGCGGTAAAACCGCTGCGCAGCGCGAGCGTTGAGATTCGACGCAAACAGGCGAGTCGCAGCAAAGACGGCAGCAGGCGTCCAGTTGTCCGGGTCTGTGAGGAAGAGCACGTCCTCCCAGTTGCTTAACGCTGGCACGATCTTGAATGCCTTGGGCACCTTCCCAGATCGGAACCGGCTGAGCAGCTTCCCCACGCTGTAAAGAAGGGAGGGAGGGAGGGGAGGGGAAGGCAGGGAATGTCAGTCAGGGGATGGTCAGGTCAGGCAGGAACAGGGGGGACGGCAAGAGAGGGGAGGACAGAGAAGGGTTATCCTTCAGTCTAGCAGCAGGCGTCCAGTTGTCGGGTCGGTGAGGAAGGGCACGTCCTCCCAGTTGCTTATCGCTGGAACGATCTTGAACGCTTTTGGCACCTTGCCAGACTGGAGCCTTGCTCAGGAGCTTGCCCTCACTGGGAGGGGGGAAGAGAGGAGAAGAGAAGACAGAGCAAGGGGGTTGGGGGGAGGGAGGGTCGGGGGGGCGGGGGGGAAGGGCGCGCTCCTAATTAGCCCTCACCCTCAGTTAGCCTCCCTTGCTTTTATCATCTAATCACGCACTTACAACATGTGCTGTGCAAACACTCACCCTCGGATAAGCAATTTCTGTAATGCTCTGTGAACTCCCTGCAGAAATGTACCCAATCACATCACACACACTCACCCTCTGCAGGCCTCCTGGTATCCGCCTCTTCTTCTTCACCTCTTCCCCCCACCTGTGGCGCTCTTTAACCTCCTGCAAAATGATTACCAACCACACACTCACTCACTCACCCTCTGTACACCTCCATCACTTTGTCATCCACTCATACCTGTGGTGCCCTTTAGCCTCCTGCTAAATTCTGACCAACCACACACCCTCACTCACCCTCTGTACACCTCCATCACTTTGTCATCCACTCCCGGTATCCGCCTCTCCTCCTCTTCTCCCCCCCTCACACCCCCACCGCCCTCAGCAGCAGCTCCCGCTGACCCGCTGCCAGCAGTCGCCTCCTGGATCCTCGCCATGATGACGTCAGCCAGCGTGCGCTGACGCGGGGCTGCCCCCCCTCCCGCGAGGAAGACTGCGATCGCCCGCTCGTCCTCCTCCGTCACCTCGTCCGCCTGCCAAAGTGCCAATCGCACGAGGACACGTGGCAGATTCAGGTGCCACGACACAACAAGGCATCAAAGTTGTGAGAGAAAATGGCGCGCGGGGTGGGGATGGGGGAGGAGAGGGGGAAGGAGTGGGGCAAAGGGGGAAGGGGTGGGGGAAAGGGGGAGGGACTGGGGGAAAGGGGGATTGGTGGGGAGGAGGGAGACGGAAATGAGGGGGAAGGGAGCGGGGAACGGAGAAGGGGGGAGGGGGGGAGAGAGGAGGATTTGGCCTGCCAGCTCACCACGGCATCGTTATACATGCTTGCGGTTTCCGAAAACGCCCCATACTCCCCATCCTCATCCTCCTCCTCCTCCTCTTCTCCCTCTTCCCGTTCCTCCCCCTCCTCCGCACCCTCCCGCCCTCGTCTCGCGGCGCTTAGAATCCTCTCCACGTCCGCCGCCGCCGCTGCCGCCGCTTCTGGATCCCGCTCCCCCCGCTCCTTCCCCTCTTCCCCCGCCTCCTCCTCCCTCTCCTCCTGCTCGCGCTCTCGCGCCGCCACAGCCGCCGCGAGATCGAACGCCTCGCGCGCCCCGTCAAGGCCGCGCTCCTTCTCCCTGCAGGTGAGGACAAAACATGCGAAGCAGAACGCGCGTTCAGGTTCCGGGGTTAGGGGCTTGAGGTTTCGCGCGAGCCCCCAAGGCTGGCGTAGCTCCGGGGCTTAGAAACTTTCTCAATGAAGTGTGAAGCCAGAGCACGCAATGCAAAGGAGGCAATGCGTAACATGTGACTCAAAAGTCTGTGACAATGCATGCCGCAAGAGGGAGGAATTTTGAGGCGCCTCAAACAATGCAAAGGAGGTAATGCGTAACATGTGACTCAAAAGTCGCCTGACAATGCATGCCGCACGAGGGGGAAGGTGAAGAGGCGTTGTGGAAACACGGGTTTGCAGTGAGAGGAGCGCCCTGCGTTCCCTCTTCCTTCTTCCCTGCACATTTGAGGGGAGGGAGGAGCACCCTGTGCCTTCCCTGCACATTCGAGGTGTCGGTTTTAAACACCCAACTTCGAGGTTTGGGCTCCATAATCAGACGGCGTTCGAAATTAGGGTTAATGTTAAAAAAACCCCAGAGTTCAAGGTCAGGGTTGAAGTCACGAGAGAAGGACTCACATCTCGCGCGCGACCTCCTGCTGTTGCTTGCGCGCCTCCTTGAGAATCCGCGCGCTCACGGCCAGATTCGAGGTTTAGGCTTCACGATCAGGCGATGCTCGAATCTAGGGTTACTGCGAAACTCACATCTCGCGCGCGACCTCCTGCTGCTGCTTGCGCGCCTCCTTGAGGATCCGCGCGCTCATCCCCGCGCCGATCACGCCATCCTCTTCCCCCTCCGCCTCCCCCTGCCGCCGCCGCTGCTTCGGCGCGCGCCGCCGCTTGGCGGCTTGCTCGAGAAGAAACTCGTCGTCCATCTCCTGCTCTAGCGTCGTCGCGTGCGCGGCGCCGCCTCCGCCGCCGTGCTTTGCGGAGACCTTCATGCCCTTAGATTTTAGCTGCAGACGCTGCTGCTGCTGCTGCACCACGCGACCCCGCTTCTTCCCCTTCATGCCCGCTTTTGGCGCAGCAGACGCGGAAAGACTCCGAGGAGCAGAAGGAAAGTCACTCGGGAGGAGCGACCAGCGGAAGAACGTGCGTAACGGCGAAAGCGCACGTGAAACGACGGAAAAAAATTAGTTCCTGCGAATGGTGGAAAGATGGGGAGTTAGGGATAGGAGCAGAAATAAACCTCATGAGCAGCCAGGCTTTTGCGGGCAGAGGGTTTATAGGAGGGTTTGAGGGGCGTTTAGCCTCGCGACGACGTTACCAGCATCACTATTGTTCGGGAAAATCAGCGAGCTTTGCGAAGGAAAATGAAGTAAAGTAACGAAAACCGCCGGACACCTGCGACGAAAACAAGCCTGCGACTGTCGCAAACCGCAATGGTGTTCCCCAGGGTTTCCTTCCACGTGTCGCCGTCAAACCCTCCCACGCAACCTCCAGCTTTTACCACGCTGGCGCGGCCTTTCCACCCACCCGCACTTTCTCCCCGCCGCTTCCCGCCATGCTGGCGCATTGCCAACTTCCCCCATTCTCCTCGAAATCTCCCTGTTGGCGCGGGTGGGGATGCGCCTTTCTTCCGCCTTTTCCCTCATCCCTCCTTCACCCCTGCTTTCCTGCTTCGCCCATGGACCAGCACCATACGAAAGAGCACCTGACCGCATTGGATCGTACAATGCCTGAAAAAACCACATCGAACCATCATCCCCTCTGCTTCTCCTTATCCACTCCTACACGTCCCTCCTTCCAAAGCAGCAACTTTTCTTTCGCAGCCATTACCGCACTTGTAGCTGCTCCGTTTTATCTGCACCATCTGCCACAATGTTCGCGCTCGCCTCGTCCCGCGCCGTCGCGTGCGCGCCCGCCGCCGTCGCGCGGGCGTCGCTACAAGCCGCTCGGCCCGCCGGCCGCGTCTCGTTCGCGGCTGTTCGGCCGGTCGCTCCCTGCGCGCTGCGGTCAGACCTCGTGGCTGCTCGCCCCGCCGTCTCTTCCCTCTCGTGCTCGCTCGCAGGTAACGAAAAACCGACGAAGAAAATGCTTGCGAAAAAACTCCAGTTGGCGAAAGCGCCTTCAGACTTGGCCTGTGGATCTCGACGTGTTCCGTCGCACTGCGCTGTCCTAGTGGCATATTGCACCCCGTAATGAACGCGCCGCAATGCTGGATTGGTCGACATGCGCAACCCTGGCGCCGTAATCTCGCGCCGCACTGAACAACGACCAGAACAGGATTCCTTTTCGTCTTCGGACGTAGTTGCTTAGAGGAGCTGCAGTAAACAGACCTGCTAGGGGGAGGTTTGGCAGGTAGGAAAGCAGTCGTAATCCCGCGCTGCAGTGAACGACGTACAGACCTTCTTATAGGGTTTGGTGAGGCATGGGTTTCGCATGGCAGGGCCGGGGCGCCAGACCTTTGTGGAGCAGGGGAGCTCAAGGGCGCGCGTAGGATAGCTGTGGCAGACGTAGGGGTCGGAGTCACTTGCTTCATGCGTCGGATTACAGCTTGCGAAGGACGGGCGTGCGATGGTGCTTCGCAAGCTCGCACACGTCGCGCAGATGTCACTTTTGAGGGGACATGTGACCCCCTCTAAGGAGCGCCGCTATAGCGCGGGCTACTCGTAGGGGAAGCGGCCTTCGCGAACAGTGAGGCTGAGAGTGACTGCATAGCGAAGAGCAATAGTGACGGGTTTTTTCGTTAGCTGCGGGCGGCCCGACGACACCGTAGGGATGTTTGGATGGGTACTGGGGGTTCATGGTTCAGTGGATGCGTCCTCTTCCCTCTCCCTTTCTCTTTCCCACTCTCGTATTCTCTCTTTCTCTCTCTATCTGTATCCCTCGCACGCCCACACACACACACACACTCGTTCTCGCTCCATGCTTGCTCTTCCCCAGCCTTCATAGCAATGGCAGGCAGCATGGTTCCGCTCCCGCACTTCCCCAATCTCTCCTCGCCTTGTGTCCTCCCCACCCTCCCACGCACCCTCCCCCCTCGCCCTTTCGCAGGCCTGCTCCTCTCCCCAGAGAGCTCTGGGCGTCTGGTGTTCCCTGTCTCTAGGGGCTGTCAGCCAGTGGTGCGGGCAGGAGGCACCAGCATTGGCTGCACCAAGCTCCGCACCTTAAACAAGAAGCATCCCTTCTCTATCTCCCGCTCCCATCCTTCCCTACTCATTATTCCCCTGCAGGCCTGCGCCTCTCCCCAGAGAGCTCTGGGCGCCTGGTGTTCCCTGTCTCTAGGGGCTCTCGGCTGGTGGTGCGGGCAGGGGGCACCAGCATTGGCTGCACCAAGCGCCATGCGTCTCGCAAAAAGCGTGCCCGGGTGTCAGGCTACCGTGCCCGCATTGCTACCAAGGATGGGCTGAATGTGCTGAAGCGCCGCCGGGCCCGTGGCCGGAAGGTGCTTGTGCCCCAGTCGTCGTCGCGTTCAGGCAAGAAGGCTTAGGGGGAGTGACTGACTAGCATTTCACTTGGGAGTGTGTGAGTCTTGGCTGGCTGTAGCAACACCTATTGCTTGATGTGTGCTTTTATAAAAAAAATTATTGGAAGTTATACGCGTAATTGACGTAGCAATGTTTGAGCAACAAAAAACACATGTAGAACTATTGAGGAGCTATGTTTTCGATTTGGACTTATTTCGATTTAGCAGATGTGAGAAATATTGTTCACGAGGTGTACCATTTGTGAGGTTTACCAAATCTGAGTGGAGGTGAGATGAGGACCCAACCTGTTCCGATGGAAAGTCATGGACGGCCTCGATCATCTCAACTTGTCGTGCGCTACTGCTTGCGGTTCAGATTGTCGCCCTCCTGCCAACCTCTGAAACCGTCCTCTCGGGATGCGGTACGAGCCCACCAATCAGGAAGGGGTGGGAAATTATTGCAGGCTCTTGTGGGCCAAATGCATTCTTCGCGAGTCGCATTTCGTCGCATGAGCTTGCAGCACGATTTCTGCCATCGCAGGCATCACGCTGCAGGCATTCGCGAAGGCAGGAGCTGGGCGGAGCGCAAAATGCCTCGGTCAGGGCAGTGGTAACTCATCCTCCCTTCGCTCGATATTTCGCGAACTCCGGTCTGTCGAGTCGCAATTCGGCAGAGGTCCTCTGGCATTCTCCATGTGCATCTGCGCTGCGAATGCCGGAATCGCGGCTCGACGAAGTGCACAGCTGCTTGGTCGGTTCTGGCCCGTCTTTTCCTCTAGCGCCCAACCAGTGCTTCACCACTGCCCCCGCGCCAGCCCAGTCCAGTTCTACTCGACTCTTCGCCTCGCCAATCTCCCGCCCCTCGCTCTCCCTCATTTCCCACTCTCAAATCAACTCAACCTTTCTCCTTCCTCACATGCCATCGCGCGCGATCGAGATATGCGGCGGCTCAGTTGATTGATGCACCATCCATCAGGCTCGCCGTCCTTGCGTCACCCTGCCCTCTCGCACTTACGAATTCGGGGGATCTCGTGAATTCGCAATCACGGTCTCCGACAGATCGCTCCACAACACGCCATGCTAGCAGCGTGAGCTAAATCTATCCAGAAGTAATTCAGCTGTGAGATGCCTCAAATCTATCCAGGCACATCAGAGACTTGCATCCATCCCTCGATAGCTCCGCAATCATCGAGCTTCTCGCTTGAATTCGCTGCTCTCGTTTTCAGCCAGGGACCTTCAAGGCCCTTTCTTCAGTCCCTTTATTGAGGCTAAGAGCGAATTTAAGGTGAATTCCGCTTCGTAGATTTCTCACAACGAACAAGATCGCGTCGAGATCGATGGCGACTCGAAGACCGCCCACAACGACAGTCAGTACAGCAGAAGCTATGGCGGTCGGAGCTAGTAGGCACTCAGTTCCGGCACTCATCCTTCTTCTTCTCCTCGTTACACTCCCTCGTGCCGCTGCCTCGAGCAATCTAAACGACGGGGTTGATCCGTGCACGACGCTCGCGAAGAAACTAGAGGCGAGCGTGGCGACGTTGGCGAAACAGAACATCATCGTCGACGGATCCGTCGGTTTCGCCACACCTTCAGAAGCGAGAAGCTGCCTGAGAAACTTCCGGTTCCGGCCAGACCGCGACATCCCCGCTTTAGACACAATCATTAACGCGCTCGACAACCACTACGTGTACAAGCACCTCGCGGTAAAATCACCAGACCCGAGTCTCCCGAGCGACGTCGACATCATCACATACTTAAAATCGATTCGCGAAAAGGCGGAGAAAGGGGCCGGGATCAACAGTCTCCTGCGCTTCCACACGCTTATCTTCCGCGCGATCGACTCGCTCAACGACGGCCATACCGCCATGACGAGCAATTGTTTCCAAGGCGTCGGGCTCTACACGCTGCCGCTGCCGCTCGTGTCGGTGGTTGAAGATGGGGAGCAGATCATCCGAGTCGGCGGCCTAGAACGTAAGAATTCGGTTGGGTGGGGTTCGGTTCGCTGCATGTGTTAACATTGTGTTTCTCAGCGTACACTCTCCCGCTGCCGCTCGTGTCGGTGGTCGAAGACGGGGAGCAGATCATCCGAGCCGGCGGCCTAGAACGCAAGGATCGGTTGGGTGGGGTTCGGTTCGGTGCATGTCGGTTTATTGGAGTTGTCAACGTTTACAGGTCACACCCTGTACTGCATCTCGTGTCGGTGATTGAAGGCGGGGAGCAATCATTCGATTCGGCAGCTTAGAATGTATGAATTCGGTTCGGTGCGGTTTGGTTCGGTATGCTCGTTTCCGCAAGTCAACCCTTGTTTCCGCGTCCCCCAGGATTCGCCCTCCCCACGTTTCCCCACTCCCCTCTCCCCCGCTCTTTTCCCCCACCTCCGCCCCCCCAGTGCTCCGCGGGCGTCCGGATTTGATCGCGCCCGGGCTGTTCGGATTCAACTTTTCGCGCTACGAGGGGAAGCGTCTCATGCCCCGCCGTCCCCTTCCGCTTCCCCTTCCGCTTCCCCTTCCGCTTCCCCTTTCGCTCCCCCAGTGCTCCGCGGGCGCCCCGACCTAATCGCGCGCGGGCTGTTCGGATTCAACTTCTCCCGTTACGAGGGGAAACGCGTGGTGACTATAGAGGGGGAGCCCGCGCTCCCGTTAATCGCGCAGTGGGCAGACAAGTACGTGGGGACGTTCCGCAGCGCGGGCGCGCGCATGAATGCGGCGCTGGCGCACCGCACGGTGAAGGGGCTCGGGCAGATCGACGGGAGCCAGGGCGCGTTCACGGTGCGCTCGATCCCGCCGCGGAAGGACGCGCTTACCATGCTCATTGCCGTCAAGTGAGTACTCTTGAAACGTCCGCGGTTTGGGGGGGAATGCGGCACTTGCGCTCCGCACAGGAGAGGGGCTTTGGGGGTTAGCATGCGGCCGGCGGAGGGATCATTGGGGCAGGGGGATATGGGATGTGGGATGTGGGATGTGGGATGTGGTCTTTGTGGCAGGTCGACGGGCTTTCGGCGACAACTGCTGCTGACTAGCTGACCTCCCTCCAAACACCCCCTCCCCCCCCCTCCCCCCCCCGCCCCCGTTTCCCCCCTCTCCCCCAAACCCCTCCTTGCCCTCTCCCCCACCCGTCATTCCGCAGCCCCGCTTCCCCGCCCGAGGGGGTCATCGTTCTCCCGAGGAGCGTTCAGCGACAGCCGCAGCAACTGGCTCGCATTCTGCCGGAAAGCGCCTTACCCTCGCCCCCAACCCCCCTACCCCACCCCCCCGCTCATTCGCCCCACGCCTTCCCCTCGTCCCCCCGCCTCTCCATTCCGCAGCCCCGCTTCCCCGCCCGAGCGGGTCATCGGTCCCTGGATAGCGAGTCTCCCCCCAGGGGCGTTCAGCGGCAGCCGCAGCGACTGGCTCGCATTCTGCCGGAAAGGGACTAACCCGATTCCACTCCCCTCCCATCCTTCCCATCCTCCCGTCCGCTTGCCCAACCAACCAGCCCTGGTTCCCCGCCCGAGCGGGTCGTTGTTCCCTGGATAGCGGATTTTCCCCGGGGGGCGTTCAGCGACAGCCGCAGCTACTGGCTCGCGTTCTGCAGGAAAACGGGGGAGGGGGACGTGGGGGGAAGCACCACGGAAGGTTCCGCTGCCGCTGCGGGCAATGTTGATGACGTCAGCGTAATCTACGGTGATGCTAGTGGAGATAGTAATGGTGGCGGGGACAAGTTAGCAAAGAAAGAGGGGGAGTTAGGCATCAGCAAGGCGGGTGGGCTTAGAGGGTTTTCTTTAGCAACAGGGGCAGGTGCTGGATTAAAGAGAGCTCCTATAGCGGATGCGACTGTAGTGGGGATGCTGGCGCCAAGGCGTGATCTGGACCCCCCACCGCTGAGAGTGAGGGAGGTGGAAGTGGTGGAGGAGGGGCAGGGAGGGGTGGAGGGAGGAAAGGAGAAAGGCCTCAACCCAGTGACCGGTGGCACTGCTGCGGACTCTGGTGTGGCTAGTGATGCTGCTGCTGGTGGTGCTGGGGGCGCCACTGCTGGTGATGCTGCGGGTGCCGGTGCAGGTGCATCTGGGCCGGATGTGGCTGCCGCGCCTGGCAACCCCCAGCAGGTTGTGCGGCTGTCAGCAGACGGCGATCTGTTCCCCGTGCTGCTGCTGGGAGACGGCACAGCGGTGATCTGGCTCCACACGTTCAGCACCAAGGGGCTGGATATCTCTGCTACTGGGCTCACTCCCTCGCAGTACCTCTACGCCGAGTCCATGCGGGCCTTGAGCCTTGCTAAGAGGTAAGCTCGAGCTACATCCCCCCTGTTCCTTCTAGTGCTGCTGCTGCTGCTGCTGCTGCTGCTGCTGGCGGACGGCACATCGGTCATCCATCTGGCTGCACACGTTCAGCACCAAGGGGCTGGACATGTCCGCCACAGGGCTGACCCCTGCTTGTTGCGTTTCTTATCTAAATGCTGAGGAGTCCATGCGAGCTCTGAGCCTTGCTACGCGGTAGTTTTGCATTGTGTTCCGCCCCAAGGTCAGCCTGGCATATCTTGTATAAGCCATGCCCTCAAAGCGATGCCTTCTTGAGCCACCCAATTCACGCGATCCCCCGTCATGCCAATCCTTGCTATCCCCTTTTTTACAGGAGCGGTAAGCGCATTGTACTAGATGTCCGGGGGAACAATGGCGGAATAATCCAAACTGCTTATGGTGTGGTGAGGGCGTTAGCCGGCCCTGCTAAGACCCCCCGGGGGCAGCTACAGATGCAGCAGCAGCTGATGATTGGGAACGAGTACACTGCACGACTCATTAAAAGCAGCGCCACTTTCTTCTATAACGCATCTAATTATTGCGACCTGTCGGAGACTGCTGGGCTGGACGGACCAGCGGCTTTCGGGCCGTTTCAAGATATTCGGTTCTCAGAGGACGGGCAGGCCGGAAATTATTCTGCCCGGGTGAAGCTGCAGGAGATGCTGACGCTGTACGACCAATCAGATGATTTCAGCGGGCTGCCCATGGTGGTCGTTTCCGACGGAACGTGCTTCTCTGCATGCGCAGTTCTAACGCACATCTTAAAACGAAGGTTCAACATCCCAATGGTGACTGTAGGCGGGATAAGGAAGCAGCCAATAGCAGTGAGCTCGTCCTGTCTGGGCGGCACGCTCGGGTCGCTTGATGACGGGATCTCGCTGCCACTTGCCGGCACGCCATTGGCCCAGGATCCCCGCGCCACCCAACCATTCCGTATGCAAATGGACCTGGCGTTTGCCATGCTACAGGCGTATGGGCCCGAGGAGGACGGCGGCAGTAAGGGGGGTGGGGGAGCGGTGGGAGCGGGAGCAGCGGGAGCAGCGGGAGCAGCGGGAGCAGCGGGAGCAGCGGGAGCAGCGGGAGCAGCGGGAGCAGACCCTGGTACAGGAGGTGTGGCGGAAGCAGTGCCGTGTGAGTTTGACTTTTTGGAAGCGGATGCGCACATTGACCTGACGATGGAGATGGTGGATCAACCCAGGTTCCTGTGGGCTGCTGCTTCTGACCTGCTTATGAAGGGGATGCAGTGACAAGCCGAGAGTCAGTGAATTGGAAGCCTGCATAGGATTTATCCATTGGAGGGAACGATGATGGACAGTGGCGGTGTGGGTTGTTTAGATTGTTCCAGATCCCGATTGTTGTACCATATATACAGCAGGAGTACTGATGCCCAGGCTCAAGCCTCTCGTTGACCACTCTGCACAAGGTACCCCCCACCCCCCCCCCCCCCCCCACCACCACTCAACTAAGTATGAGCTCCAGTTAAATCTTTTCATGTCAATTGCAAACACCATGGTATAAAATGTAGAGCGTATTCTGTTTCAAGTGAGGTGTCGAGACACAACGCTTAAAGAATAAGAATGGGTGGGAATAGAACCTCATGGGGGTGCGCAAGCAACATGGAAGCAAGCAGTTTGAACAATTTATAATTAGTATCACGGTAGTCATTTTGCATAATGAATGGTCATGTTTATTGTCCAACATTAGGATTCGTTAATGAGCTTGTGTATTCGAAGTTTTGCACCGAACTTCCTCAAATTTCGTTGTGCTGTGCAGCAGGTGACCGACCACTCCAAAACGCGAGCTGCACTCGTGGCACCGACAGCAACGACTCGCCAGCTTCTAACCAAAAAGCCGGGCGCTCGTCTGACACGCGCGCTCAAGGGCTCCACCTTGCGCTTTCGAGATTTCGTCCTTGCCTCGCTGGCGATGACGACAACACCGCTAGGGGTTTTCATTTGCTCGCCATCCCCTATGGCCAGGAATGCCAGGGAAATGCAGCAGGAATCATTTCTCGAACACAACGGGACAAGGTTATTCGTTCATTGAACCGAAAAAGGAATCGCTCGTCAAGGCTGGTTGGGAAACCTGGAACTCTCCGGAAATTTCGAGCGTTTAACCGTCATTTGTGGGCCCTGCCCTGCCGTTTGTTGACCAGTGTGGCAGCATTTCGCGCGGTAAACGTTAACCCGCGAAAGACCAGCACCGTCGTCTGACGTCGCACGCGTTAACGAGGGCTCTCAGCGTCAGGTTACCTGTCGCGCGTCCGGACAACCACTTTCCAACCAAATCGTTTTCCTGACCGAACTCCAGTTTTTCAAGCTTCCTGTGGGTTCCGCCAACTTCAAGGGACCGTGTGTGGATGGGAGCATCTATCAGGAGACAGGCAGTCAGGCAGACCTCCGCCTACTAGAAACCCTTCCCTCGACACAACAACTGAAACCAACCTTCCTTCCTGGTCTGGTTTTCACCCAAGCTAGGGTTTCATTCCACCATCCTGGTCCTATCCTCCTTGCCAAATCGCTACTGGTTTCATCACAGCTGCCATAGCTCATTACTCACATCACTGTACACTCTCGTTACGTGTGCTTTCGCTAGCTTTCTCCGGGAAAATGGATGTGAAGAAGTTCGCCATGGAGCACGCCGCTCAAATGTGCCCGTTCCTCCGCAACGTGTCCCTCTCCTCGTCCTCCACAGCGCACTCGTCTCCCATCTCCCACTCGCTCGGGGACCTCTGCCCCGCTTCCGCCGCTCTCCCGGGAAAGAAACCCATCTTCGAGGAAACGTCGTCCTCCTTCGAGGTCGCTTTCAGGCTCTTTCATGGCGAGGAGGGGGTTGTTCCGCTCGCTAAGCCTGCCGACTTTCTCCCGGCTGTTCCCGCCAAGTCAGGCAAAATTGAAGACGCTGAGACCAGGCTGTCGCTCTCATCCCGTCCGACGCTCCCCGTTCTTGAAAGCACCGCTGAGAAGCAGACCTCTCACCTGAAGGCTTTAGAGCCAGCAGGAGAGCAGGATCAGGAGGTCTGTCCGTACGTTGCGGCTTTCGCTGGTGGTATGGGTGCGTCAGCGGCGACGATCAGCCTGTCGGTGTTCGGCCCTTCCGGACCGTTCAGCTATGATTCGTTCCGATCGCGCGGGGAGAGCAACAAGGAGCAGCAGAGACGGAAGGAGCAGGAGGAGAAGCGGCGACGCGAAGAGGAAGCTGCCAAGGTGAGCAAACGCACCTTGAATGGCGTACACTGTTCTAATAGATATCTACCGTGAATGGCGTACACTGTTCGGTGATATCATGATGTCGTACCTTTAATCTCACATGACCGTGTGTGGGTGTCACGCCGTTATGGTGCATGCTCTTTGCTCACATCACGGCGAACGGGTCGTGGCTTACGCCATGGTGTAACAGTTACTGCTAATGTGGTTCGCCTGTGAGGCTTCGCTCTAGGTTTGGTTGCCAATTCAGCAGCACCGGCAGACTTATACAGCTTTTGCCGTAAGTCGTGGATCCCATTCCTTCTCCTTTCCCCCTTGTCCTTTCCAGGAGCGAGAGTCTGTTCACGAAGCCGAAGGCGAAGAATGGCTCGCGAGTGGCAACTGCCCGATCGCGAAGTCCTACCGAGCGTTTTCGCGAGTGGTGCCTCTGATCGCAGCGGCGATCCGTCCCGCGTCCGGCATCCAGTACCGCTGCCCGGCTCCCATCATCGCCTTGCGAGCAGCGGTCGCGAAAACCCCCGCTATGAAGGCCCTCCGTCCCCAGGCCCTCCCGATAAGAACGCTCGCTATAGGCACGCTCGGCATGATGCTGAACATTCCGCTGGGCGTCTGGCGAGAGCATTGCGAAAAGTTTTCGCCACAGTGGATTATCGCCGTGCACGCGTCCGTTCCGCTGGTCGCCGTCCTGAGAAAGGCCGCTCTTATGCCGAAATACGCCATGGCTTTCACTATAGCCGCATCCGTTATAGGCCAGGCGATTGGGGCGAGGGTGGAACGGACCCGCCTGAGAAAGCTCAAGGAAGCTGTGGAGGGTGCTGAACTGACAGAGAACATTACTGACGACAGCACTGCACGCACCAGCAGTAGCAGCAGCAGTCTCAAGGCCGTCCCAATGCTGCCTCAGAGGTCGGTTGCACTGTCTAAGTCCCGCAGCGAGTACCGGGTTGCGAGTAAGGGGCCACCTGCTGCTGCTGCTGGAGGCGCTACTACTGTGCCGTCTGGTTGCAAGGCGGCTGCTGCAGCTGCGAAGGAAGGAGTGGGAGCATTTGCCATGTCTGTTGGTGGCGGTGGGGCTAGCGGCGGAAGCCCTTTGAAGGTTGCTGCGGCTGCACACTGATTAGTGATGCCGCACATTCATTAGTGCTCCTGCATACTCTGTAGCAGTGCTATTGACAGTGCTGCTGCGCTCAAGTTATCCAGAGGGCACCAGGCAACTCTGGTAGTGAGGTGGCTACTGTAGGAACGTTATTTGTCATCCAATGAATGATTTCCTGGAGATGTCATGTTCATTTCCTTGATATTGAGGGGCCCCCACCGCACTACAAGATATGTGCTGAATTGCACATGTGAGACCTTGTCAGCCTCATGTGGGAAGCAGAAAAGTTGCTCTTCGACTGTGTTCTGAATGTTTTGCTGCTACAATGAACAAGATTGAAAATCAGTGATTCCATTCATCCACACCGTAACTATTTTATGGCACTGTGGAGTGAACACGCTATCACTTGCGCGCAGATTTCCCTCCACCTGCCCGCTTCAACGCAGTGACTGCATCAGCTTGCCTTGAACCAACCACTCCAGCCATTCTCCCTGCCCCTCCACCAGCCCCTCGACCAGTTGCACCTCCCCCAGCTGGCCCTCCCCCACCACTCCCCCTTCCCCTCCCTCCGCCCCTGCCCCTTCCCCTGCCTCCTCTCCCTCCCACTCCCCCAACGCTTCCCCCCCTCCCTCTCCCCCCTCGCCCCCACCATTCCACCCTCCCCTCCCCCCTCCCCTTCCCCTCGCTCCCCTCCCTGCATCCCCCCTGCTACCCACTGCTTCCCTGCCCTAGCTGTTGCCATAGAAAGATATGGATTGGGGAGTACCCTACTGTTTGCGGGGGTGGTTGCTGCTGCTGACGTGGCGACAGAGGCTGGGTTTGCTCGCAGCTGATTGGCCAGCTCGGTTGTCATACCGGACTGATGTGTGATTGGGGGTGGGGTGGGGAAGGGATGGCGAGGTCGAAAGCAGAGGGCAGGGATGAAGAGATGCAGATTGGTAGAAAAAACAGATTGGGATAGCAAGGGCAAAGTTAAAAAGCACGGGCTGTGTGACCCAAGAGGGGGAAGGACAAGGAGGTTGAAAGAAGAGCAGCAGGAAGGGAGAGGGAGAGGTGAGAGGCACTCACAGCGGCGATGAGTGAGCGCAGGTTGGTGGGCCTGAGCGGCTGCGAGACAGCTTGCTTCAGAGTCTGAAAGCAGAAGGATAGGAGGGCAAGGCATCAGAAGGAAGAGGGCAGGGTGGGGGTTTGTGGCTGGAGGAGTTCGACGAGCGAGCACAGGTTGGTGGGTCAGAGAGGCTGAGAGACTGGTGGAGTGACGGGTGCAACAGGCAAAGAGTTGACACAGGCAAACAAGTGAGTCGATGCAACCGAGTAGTTGCTTCAAAAGATGGCGAGAAGAGCTGGCGATGCGGCTAGCAGCTCGGCCATGGGGTTAGCAGCTCGGCCATGGGGTTAGCAGCTCGGCCATGGGGTTAGCAGCTCGGCCACGGGGTTAGCAGCTCGGCCACGGGGTTAGCAGCTCGGCCACGGGGTTGGCAGCTCGGCCACGGGGTTAGCAGCTCAGCCATGGGGTTAGCAGCTCTTTCAACCTCTGCAGCTCCATCACCTCTTGCTGCATCTGCTGCCACCCCTCCCCTGTTTCCCCTGGCCCCTCCCACCCTCCCTTCTCTCCAAGAGCACCCCAGAGATATCAACGCACTGACTGCACGCCCCAAACCCACTGGTTGGGTTCCCAAGTACCCCTGCTCATCTCACCTCCTTCATTCGCTGCAGCTCCATCACCTCCTGCTTCATCTGCAGTCGCCCACCCTCTCCAGCACCCACTCCCCAACTTCACGTATCTCATTCCCTTCATCTCTCATTATCACCCCTCACACCTCTCCTCCCTCATCCGCTGCAGCTCCATCACCTGCTGCTTCATCTGCTGCCGCCCATCCTCGCCTGTTTTCCCCTGGGCCCTCCCACCCTCCAAACCCTAAACACAATCCAAAGATACCAACTGATACCACCAGAGAACCCAAGAGCAACGCTCAAACAGCCCAAGACAGCTCATCTCACCTCTTTCATCCGCTGCAGCTCCATCACTTCTTGCTTCATCTGCTGTCGCCCATCCTCCCCTGTTTCCCCTGGCCCCTCCCATCCGCGCTTCTCCCCCCTCCCAACCAGCCTCCTCACATCCACCCCTCTATCCGCCTCCCCTTCTCCCCCTTCCTCCCCCCTCGCTCCTCCTCGCCTTCTTTTGCTCCTCCGCTCCTCCTGCTGGCGTTTCTTGTTCCCCTTCCCTCGCCCTCCCCTCTCCCCCTCGTCGTCACTCTCCCCTCCCGCCTCGTCAAAATCATCAAAATATTCCTCCTCACTCTCTTCCTCTGCTCCCTCTTCGTCCTCCTCTTCCTCCTCCTCCTCCCCTCCTGCCACGTCAGCACCCCCCTCCTCCAGATTCACCTGCACCGCCTTGGCAGCGCGCTGCTTCCAGGAAGTTTCCGCTTTCTCCTTGGAGTGCTTGCGGGAGAGAGTGTCGACACTTAAAGCCAGGCTGACACATTGCTTGAGGTTGGGGAGATAATTATGATCCACAGGAAAGGTGGGGAGAGGGCCGGACTGGAAGGGGGCAGGGAGACAGGAGAGGTGAAACAGGGGGGTGGAGAGGGACAGGAGGAAACAGGGCTGTCAACGCTTAAAGCCAGGCTGACACAGTGCTTGAGGTTGGGGAGATAATTATGGTCCACAGGAAGCGTGGGGAGAGGTCCGGACTGGAAGGGGCCGGGGGAAGCAGGGGTGAGAAGGGGAGGGGAGAGGGGGATATGGGGGAGAGGGGGTTGTCTAGTTTTGAGGCGCCTCAAAACTAGACTCCTATCACGCCGGGGGAAGCAGGGGTGAGAAGGGGAAGGGCGAGGGGGATATGGGGGAATCGGGGTTGTCAACACTTGCAGCCAGGCTGCCAAACACTTGAAGCCAGGCTGACACAGTGCTTGAGGTTGGGTAGATAGTTGTGGTCCACTGAGAGCGTGGGGAGGGGTCCGGACTGGACGGGGCAGAGAGAGGGTGGTGGCAGGGGGTGGAGCGGACAGGAGGAAAGCCAGGATGGTTTACACAGCCAGGATGATTGACACTTACAGCCAGGCTCACACAGTGCGTCAGATTGGGTAGGTGATGGTAAACCCCGTCGCAGTGCAGATCTTGCTCAGCCCGCAAAGTGCTCATCGCTCGCAGAGCATATCTTGCTCAGCCCGCAAAGCAGCGCATCTTAGGGAGCACCTTTGGGAGTCACCACAGCATCCCGTAGAGGCAGAGCAACCACAGCGACTCACAACCCTTGCTGTGAGTACCACAGCATACCATGTTCAGCTTTCGGAGCAGCGACGAGTGTTTGGTGGAGTCTTTAGGCGTCACCAGAGCCACAGAGCACCACTCAGAAGAAGCATCTCGGGCAGTGCGATGCCCCAGTAACCTGATACTCTCTCACCTTGTTGAGTTTTCTCAGCAGCGACGAGTATTTGATCGAGTCCTTGGGCGTCACCAGAGCCAAGAGGCACCCCTCAGAGGCAACTCCTCTAGCATTGTGCCCGCAGCAACTCTAGACTCGTACCTTCACCTCTCCCATACGTTCTCAACACCCGTTCATCTACTCTCGTACCTTAAAGCCCGTGTCTGAGTGCGAGAGTAGATATCCAACCTCAGCAAAGCGATCCCGAGGACGCGTTTGCAGTAATTAAAGTTTCGGAACCGGAGCTGGTTACATGGAATCAGGACCCGAAAGTGTCTCACGCAACAAAATTTTGGCCCAAAATCCAACACTGGAATCGCAACTCCTTGCGAAACTTTGAGAACCCAACCCCCACCATCCACGCCCTCAACTCAACGTTTTGAGGACTCAAACCAAACGTAATACGGGTCTGCAGAAATACAATACTCGAAGCCTTGTCAAAGTCTGACCTTCCACGATTTTCGAACTTGTCGCAACCCTCGCCCACTCTCTTTCAAAATTTCGCCCCTCGCCCCCCAATCAGACTCTTCCACCAAAGGTAATACCTTAGGTCAGTAGGAAATATGAGACACGGGCTTTAACGTCACCCGTACCTTGTTGAGCTTCCTCAGCAGCAGCGACGAGTATTTGATGGAGTCCTTGGGCGTCACCAGAGCCAAAGCGCACCCCTAAGAGGCAGCGCCTCTGGCTGGCAATGCGACTACAGGAGGATGTGTAGCGGTGCACATACCTGGATCACTGCCCTACCCACCTTGTTGAGATTCCTCAGCGGCGACGAGTGTTTGATCGAGTCTTCGGGAGTCACCAGCGCCACAGAGCACCCCTCAAAAGCAGCTCCTCGAGTTTGCAGGGTATTTTTGAGAATTCTCAAAACCACCCAGCACCACAAAGCACCCCTCAAAAGCAGCTCCTCTTGCCATGCGACCTTAGGCTCTCCCCATCACCCTGAGGCTCCTCACCCTCACCTACGCTACGCTGAGGCTCCTCACCCTCACCTACGCTACGCTGAGGATCCCATACCTACGCTACGCCCTCACCTTGTTGAGTTTCCTCAGCAGCGACGAGTATTTGATGGAGTCTTTAGGCGTCACCAGGGCCACGGAGCACCCCTCGGAGGCAGCTCCTCTGGCAGTACGACCGCAACGGTGCACGTAGCCCTCTGCGGTGTGGGGCAGCTGGTAGTGCACCACCAGCCGCACCTGCAACAGAACCAGAGGAGAGACACACAAGCATGGTATCAGCAGTGCACACAGGGGGTTGTGAGGCGCCTCTGGCAGGCAGTGCGACCACAGCGGTGCCCGTAACCCTCTGCAGCCGGTGGTGCACCACCACCACGCGCACCTGGAAGCGAGAAGGGGAAACACACAACAAGCAAGGCACAGCATGCACATAGGGGGTTGTTAGATGCCTCTAGCAGTGCGGCCGCAGCGGTGCCCACACCTTGCAGCAATGCACAAACACGCACCTCGGGAACATGCAGACTCACCATGGTAATTATTTTCCCGTGCACTCTAATGGCGCACATGGCTTTAAGCAATGCAGCGAGACTCACCTCAGGAACGTCCAGCCGTCTGGCCGCCACATCAGTTGCCACCAGTACTCCGTCAGGGTGCCGCTGATACCGATCCATCTAGCAGAGAGCAACGTTGGCCTGTGCAGCAGACATTGGCCTGTCTAGCACAGATTTTTTAGGTGCCTAAAAAATGATACCGATCCTTGAGGCGCCTCAAAAATGATACCGATCTATCTAGCAGAGAGCAACATTGGCCTGTGCAGCAGGTGGTGCCATCCCAGCAGTAGCAGTCCACAGAGCAGGGCACACACTCACCTCAGGAACGTCGAGCCCTCTGGCCGCCACGTCAGTTGCCACCAGCACTCCGCTCGGGTGCTGCCGGAAACGATCCAACGCCTTCAGTCGCTGGCGCTGCTGCTGCTGCGCGTGCAGGGGGAAGGAAGGCACCTGCGGGGAACAGAGGATTGGGGTATCACAAGAGAATGCAAGAGAAGGCAAGAGAAGGCAAGAGAAGGCAAGAGAAGGCAAGAGAAGGCAAGAGAAGGCAGGAGAATGCAAGAGAAGGCAAGAGAAGACAAGAGAAGGCAAGAGAAGGCAAGAGAAGGCAAGAGAAGGCAAGAGAAGGCAAGAGAAGGCAGGAGAATGCAAGAGAAGGCAAGAGAAGGCAGGAGAATGCAAGAGAAGGCAAGAGTAAGTCAGCAACACATGCTGCCAGGAAAGCAATCCAAGGCCTTGAGACTCTGGCGTAGCTGCTGCTGCGCATGCAGGGGAAATGTAGGCACCTGCGGGGGACCAGAAGAAGTGCACGGCCAGAGAAATGTGTGCTTGGACAAGTGGGTAGAGAAGTCTTCTGAGGAGCCTAGAAAATTGGACAAGCGGGTAGCGACGGGTGAGAAGGAAGAGCAGGAGAGATTCGAGAGACAGGAGAGAAGAGAGGGAAGGCAGATGAGGGAGAGAGGGGAGGGAGAGGAGGGAGAGAGGGGAGGGAAGGGTGAGAGAGAGGAGATGGGAGGGGAGGGAGAGAAGGTATCAAAAAGGGAGATACCTGCAGCAGGGCGAGGAGGGATGCGAGTCGTCGATCAACGGGTGCAAGACAAGGGTGCAGAGGCAAGGCTTACTAGCCGCAGGGCAGGGAGGGAGGCTTACCTGCAGCAGGGCGAGGAGGGATGCGAGTCGTCGAACGGACGAGATGGCAGAGCGGAAGATGAGAGTGCGGCCAAAGGTGAGGCGAAAAGAGGTGGGACGCCCAAAGGCGGGACGAGGCTTACCTGCAGGAGCGCCAGGAGGGAGGCGAGCCGACGGACAGAGGAGATGGCAGAGCAGAAGACGAGCGTGCGGCCGAACGTGCCGTGCATTCGCAGCAGGTAGAGCAGAAAGACGTCCCTCATGCTGTCGTCGCACCTGGGTTTGAGGGGATGAGGGCAGGGCGGGCGAGATGAAACAGTAGAGGACACTAGTATGAACAGGTGCGTGCACAAATTCTTAGGCGCCTCAAAGAAGCGCAGGGGGGGGTGAGATGGAGCAGCATGAGGGGCGTGTTTCTGCTGATGAAGGCCTATTGCTGGCCGAGGGGCGTCTTCCTGCTCTGCTCATCCGAACAGCATGAGGGGCGTCTTTCTGCTCTGCTCGAGCAGAAAGATGGAACAGTAGAGGACACTAGTATGAACAGGTGCGTGCACATAGGGCCTCCCCACAATATGTGACCCACTCTTGACTAGCACACTGTGTGTGTCTCCCCACACAAGATAGACCCCCCTGAACCCCTCTGAACCGTATATGCACACACACTGTAGACCAGGCAAACACAATGCACCCAACCACAGCCTCGCACTTATTCCGGCGCTGCCTCTTGCACGCCGCTCGCCACCACTTCAGCCAAGTCAGATCCACGATGGATGGTGAAGGGCGCATGCCAGTCAACTCCATCACACCCACTGGAATCACTCTGCATCCCCCCATTCCCTCCACTTACTCTAGCGTTGCCTCCTGAACCCCGCTCGCCACCACGTCAGCCGTGGTCAGATCCACGATAGCTGGTGACGGTCGCATGCCAGTCAGCTCCATCAGCGAGGCCACCACCCGATCCCTCTCCAGCCCCTTCTCCATCACCATCCTGTCCCTCTCCAGCCCCTACGTATGAGCACATACCAGCACAGCCAGCCACCCCCACAAGTACTCACTCTAGCGCTGCCTCTTGCACCCCACCCGCCACCATCCTGTCCCTCTCCAGCCCCTATGTATTAGCACATACCGACACAGCCACCCCACAAGGCACTTACTCTAGCGCTGCCTCCTGGACGCCGCTCGCCACCACGTCAGCCGTGGTCAGATCCACGATGGCTGGTGACGGTCGCATGCCAGTCAGCTCCATTAGCGAAGCCACCACCCTGTCCCTCTCAAGCCCCTTCTCCCTCTCCTTGTCTCCCTCATCCTCCTCCCCTCCCCCTCTCCCTCTGCTGCCTCTCGGCCCCTCTTTCCTGCATGCCTCCCTGCTGCCCCTGCTGCTCCTGGCGCTCGTTTTTTTCCTTGCAGCTGCCCGCGGGTGTCGTCGGGCAGGACGAGCGTTGCTGAGAAGACCAGAACCTGGCGCTTCTTCTTCGCAAGAGTGGGAGGCTGGGAGGGGAACACCTCCTCTCCTTCTCCCACTTCTTCCTCTTCCCCATCCTCTTTATCTCCCCTTCTTCTCCTTCTTCCCCTCCTCTTTTCTTCTCCCTTCTCCTCCTCCCCTCCTTCTCTTCCTTCTCCTCCCCCTCCTCTTCTTCACCACCTTTCCCCTTCCTTCCGACCTTTTCTCTGCCCTCTTTCCCTTTTCCTCCCTTTCCTCTCGCCGCGTCTCTTTCCTTGGCTAATTTAACTGCCCGTGCTGCCTTTTTGGCTGCCCGAGCAGCGTCTCTGGCTGCCAGAGCCGCCTCCTTCGCCTTAGCAGCAGCAAGAGAAGCAGCAGTGGGGGGCAGCATCCCCAAAATAGAAGAAAGTTCTTTAAACCTGCCCGGGTCAGCCATACGGTCAGCTTCGTCTAGAACGAGGAAGGAGAGGTAGTCAAGCTGCGGGGGGGAGGAGGGGGGAAGAAGGGGAGGGATAAGGGATGAGTGGCAAGGGGGGAGAGCAGAAGCCATGGGGCCAGCTTCGTCGAGAACGAGGAAGCACAGGGACACAAGTTGCAACGGATGGGAAAGGGCGAGAGGGGGGGGCGGGGGGGTGCGAGAAGGAAATTCGGTTAGGGGGTAAGGGAGGTGATATAGAAAGGACAGATGCACAAGTTCAGGAGAAGCAAAGGGGAGAGGGATCCCACAGACCCACCCTCACCAGGTGTTCCTCCCCTTGGCCCATGAGCTCCCACAGCCGCACTGGAAGTGGCCACCACTATTTGCAGCCCAAGGCTCAGCAGCCGCCTCTGCTTCACCCCAGGCATGCCGCCCTGTGACTGAACACCCACCTGTGAGTGACACCATACCGTACCCTTACCACAGGAGCACTGACATATCACAGACAGTCCCACCTTCACCAGATGCTCCTCCCCCTGGCTCATGAGCTCCCACAGCCGCCCAGGAGTGCCGACCACGATCTGCGGCCCGTGGCTCAGCACTCGCTTCTGCTTCACCTCCGCCATGCCGCCCACCGATGCCGGCCACGTGGATGCCCGTGTGGCGGGCCGCGTCTTTTATGTGCGATACAATCTGCAGTGCCAGCTCGCGGGTCGGCGTGATGATCAGCGCTCGCAGCGGCCCCTTCACCTTCTTTCTTGCCCCTGCGCCCTCCGCCTTTCCCCCTCCCTTCATCACCCCCTCCCCTTCCCCCTCCGCTTCCTCCTTCCCCTCCCCACTCTGCTCCCCACCACTATCAGCGCCCGCCCCCTTCCCCCCTCTTCTGCCCCTACTTCCTCCCCCCCACGCTCCCCATGGCTCCCCTCCTCCTCCCCCTCCTCCCCCTCTCCCCCCCACGCCCCCCCCTCCTCCGCCTGCCGCCTCTCCTTCTCCCTCTCATCCAACAACCGCTGCAGAATCGGAATCGCGAACGCCAGGGTCTTACCTGACCCAGTTTCAGCCGCCCCCACAACGTCCCTCCCCCGCATGGCGGCTGCAGGGATGCACGCGCGCTGGATGGGTGTGGGGGAGGTGAAGCCTAGGTCCTTTAGAGCGCGGAGAATGAGGGGGTTCAGGCGCAGCATTTCCCAGTCTGGCATGAGTATGTCCTCCTCCCCTTCTCCTCCTCTCCTACTCTCTCTTCCCCTTCACCCTCCCCCGCTTCCCCCTCCCCCCCTTCGTCATCCTCTCCTTCGGCCGCCTCCCCGTCACCCTCCCCCGCTTCCCCCTCCTCGCACTCCCCCTCTTCTCCCTCCTCCTCTTCTTCTCCCTCGTCTTCTCCCTCGTCTTCTCCCTCTTGTCCCTCCTCTTCTCCCTCCTTTTTTCCACCCTCCCGCCTTTCCCCTGGCACATTGTTCCTCCCCGCCTTCTCCCCTCGCTTCAGAGCTGTTTTCAGCAGCTTCCTCTGCATCTTCCTCCTCTGGCTCTTGCTCAACTTACCCTTCCCCTCCCCTGCGTCTTTAGCCGCCTCAAGTATTCTGCTCATCTTCCCCTTCCCCTTCCCTCGTCCTGACGCACCCCAGATCTCCCGCTCACCTTCCCTTCCTCCCCCCCCCTTCAACCCTCCCTCTAAAACCATGTCCTCATTCTCCCCTTCACCCGCGTCTGCCTGTGTCTCTGCTCCCCCTTCTCTCCCCCCCCTCCATCTCTCCGCCTCCATCTTCCCCCCTCCAGGTCTCCCCCGCCCCCCAGTGCTCCGCCACCCGCCAGGCCCTCAAATTCCGCGGGGTCGATCTCCTCCAGCCCCATGAAGCCTGGGCAGGGGGAGACAGGGGGAAGGGGGAAAAGCGGGAAAGTTCGGAAATCGGGGGAAACGCTTGCCTACAGTCAGGATTACCAAAGTGGCGGCATACCGGCTGCTGCTGCACTCCGGCCATCGATGAGAATCTGCGTTTCGAAATTATAGCGAGGGTTTACAGAGAGTAGGCCGCATACCGACTGCTACTAGACTGCGGTCATCCATGGGAATCGGCGCTTCCGCGGCCGTCACGTCTGCGTTTCAGGGTTACAGTTAGGGTTACGGAGAGGTGGGGCTACCGAGGTGACGACGTACCTCCTGCAGCGGGATTGCGGCCGTCCATGAGGATCTGCAGCCCTTCCACGGGCGTCACGTCTGTTCTTCAGTTGACTCAGAAGCAGGCGACAGCTAGGGTAACGGAGAGGGTGGCATACCTCCTGCAGCGGGGTTGCGGTCGTCCATGAGGATCTGCAGCCCTTCCACGGGCGTCACGTCTGTTCTTCAGTTGACTCAGAAGCGGGCGACAGCTAGGGTAACGGAGAGGGTGGCATACCTCCTGCAGCGGGGTTGCGGTCGTCCATGAGGATCTGCAGCCCTTCCACGCGCGTCACGCCTGCTTTTAGTCGGCTCAAAATCGGGTTACAATCGGGGTTACAATCAGGGTTACGGAGAGGCAGGGTTACAGACGTGACGGCGTACCTCCTGCAGCGGGGTTGCGGTGGTCCATGAGGATCTGCAGCCCTTCCACGGGCGTCACGTCCTTCCATTTAACCATGCGCAGATTCACTCCGTCTCCCCCGATCGTCTTCCCCCCGCCAAACACCTTCTTTCCGCGGATCATCTTTCCTACTTGCCGCGACTTTCCACCCCTTTTGCCGCCGATTGCCTTGCTCTCTTTCCCCAGCAAACCATTCCCTTTGCCGCTAGCGCTGCCTACTTCTAATGCCCCGCGCGACCCAGGCCTCGCTGCGCCGCCTCGGGTGCGTTTACCGCCGCTACCTCCTTTCATGGCTAGCTGAATCTCGAGAACACCGGGAAGGGGTTCTATGAAACAAGTTGCAGCTTCTTCACTCTACCTCGCTTATGCCCGAATTCTTTCAACAGGGGTTTTCAAGTGGTGGTGTTGGTCCGCTACACAGATCTTCGATATGAGCAGAAGTTGAATTTTAAGATTAAGAGTTCGACAGCCGAAATTGCACTCAGACGGGATGGGGTAGGATATGCGTTACAAACTGCCTCAGTTCGCAGACTCTAGAGGGCTCAATCTGCAAGTGCACTCAAATATGAAACACCGAATCGTAATCAGGCGAATAAACTTTGACAACGAATAGGAATGCTTGATGGCGTGTCACGTGCAACCAGCACTGCCACATCGGCAGGGAGATCTCCGCGCCAGGCGCTTGTGAGTGTGGCTCGTGCGGTGCGGCATTCTCGGTGGTCCCTGGGAGTTTACGAAATCTCCTGAGCAGGGGGATGCTTGCAATTGCAACAATTCTAGACAGAAATCAGAATGAGCGAATTGGAATCGTCGAATCCTCCCTGATGCTCTCAACAGCCAGTGACTGTCAGTTTTGCTTGTTCATTCAGTGTGTGTCAGACATGGCCTGCAATTTACACGATACTACCATCAGTTGAAGCATACATCTTAGATCTCCAAATTTCCTCTTACAGATCTCCGTTCGCGCTAGCACCTTGTTGCTGAGGCTTGTTAACGATGGCTACTACAGTTGCTGTTGCTGCTGCGTCAGCTAACATTGCGCTGAAGCTTTCAGCGTCCCAAAATGGAGTCGTTTCTTACTCTCGGGCTCCCGCTCTAGCCACGTTCGCCAGGGTCTCCAAGACGAGTAAGACTAAGAGAGCTCGCTTTACCGAAATTCCGTGTCAATTTTTCAAATCCACGGTCGTTCGGAGGCTCACGAACAGCTGACTTACTCGCAGGTGTTGGGGAGAAGCGGAGGAATTGGGTGGTGAAGGCCACCTCTCCACAGGTGGAGGAATACAAGGAGAAGGCCAACGAACTCGTCGATGTCGCAAAGGCCAAGGTATTCAAGATACTTGCGGCTCCTTCGTAGATTTTCATCATAGCTTTCCTCTGGATATATTCCTCACCAAAGCGTGTTGATTTCTTATTCAGTGGGAGACGGTTGACAACAAGCCTCTGGTGGCTCTGTACGCTGGTGGAGCCGTGGTTGGCTTGTGGGTGACATCCGCAATCCTGGGAGCTCTCGACAGCATCCCGCTGGTGAGAAACACACCAGACACTAGCTGCAGCCGTAATTCCTTATGTATTCAGACGCTTCTCTTATTCCTTCGATTTATGTTCTCCAATTGCCAACGCTGCAGGTTCCAGGCTTCCTGAAGCTAGTTGGAACCGTATACACTGGATGGTTCGTCTACCGCTACTTGATCTTTGAGGTGAGTCGTCGCCATTGAACAACCGTATGTTAAAGCCGTGGTACACACCTGGGGCACCATCTTCAAACTAACATCCCCGCTTGTTGCATTGCAGGCTTCCCGTAAAGAGCTTTCTGACAAGGTGCAGGACCTGATTTCTCAGATTAAGTAAAGCCCCAGCTGCTTCTACAAAGCCAAGGGCGAAGTTACAGAGAGCATCTTCAAAGAGTGGCACACACACGATCATGTGATCCAGGCTGTATAAAATTCTCTAGAGTAAGCAACTGGACTGGAGTACATTGTGGTCAGCTTCCAGGTGTCCGATGCCACATGCTGCAGCATGCCCAGTTGTTTGTCTATACCACTAGTTGGTTTATAAGCTACTGGGTACAAAAAATATTAAACCGGAGAGGGTACCCTGTGTGGCCAACTATTAGTGACCAGATATATAGAAACAAATCTAAATGAATGCTCCTCCCTGGCTCACAAAGCCAAGCGGAATGTATGCAGCATGAGTACATACACTCATAAGCTAGGCAGTGAACCTGCCTGCAAGCTATAGAAGGCCTACATGTAGTCATCACCCGCGCCCGGAAAGTGCTGCATGTCAGGATGGATCCCTCCACCCGGAGGACCTCTAGGCCTTGGACCACCATCCCTGGAGAAAGGAGAAAGTAATATGGAAGTATGCAGGCACAGAAAGGTAGAATGGGAGGGTTATTTGGGCATATGCATGGGCGGATGCCCACATGCCTGCATGGGAATGTGCATCAGTAGTTCCCACCCTTACAGCCAAAGCTTAGTATCCTGTAAACCCCAAATTTGCAGGATTGAACAACCTTTCTTACCCAAATCTGCCTGGCTCGAAGCCGGGGATGCCTGGAGGGCCGAATGGATCGAAGCGAGCTCCTGGTGGCATTCCCCTGCAAGCACATGAGACATGAGTGAGACTACTGGCTGCACAAGCGATGCTACCAACAAAAGAAAATCAAGACCACTGATCTCTCATCACATGGCGCACACAAGAGCTCAAACACATGCAGGGTCAGTCAGAAACTTACGGAGGCAAAGGTCCCACTCCTCCTACTCCTCCTGGAAACTGTGGGCCCCACCTAGGATCATGAGGCCCTGGACGATGGAGGGGGAGAACGCAAAGGAGGGTCAAACGAGCACAGCGTGAGCATCAAGCATGAACTGACGCAGAATGGAATTCTGATTGCATGGCAGCACCTATGAACATTGTACAGAACACATACCTACTAGCATACTTCCTCCACCGAAGCCAGGCCTGCCACACAGGAAGGAAATCCACATAAACGATCAGAATGTGCACCACAAAGAGATAGAACACTATATGCAAGATTATTCTGGTTCACAAGTGCATACCTGGTAGGCATGATGCCAGCTCCCCCTCCTGGATGCAAGTCATCGTATGGGGGCCCTGCAGGCATGGGAGGATATACGATCCCCCCCACTCCCCCTCCTTCACCAACTGAACCACGCTCAGGCTCCTCAAAATAAACCCCTCCTGTCCGCCCTCCCTCTCTCTCTGCACCCCTCCCTTCTCCCTCTCCTGCTGTGCCTGTGGAGCTGGTCTGTGCTGCAGATGCACCAGCACCAGCTCTAGCAGCAGCGGTACCAGCACCACCAGAGGCATCGGACGTGGTGGTAGAGGTGAAGGGCTTGATGATGGATGATAAGATGGAGGATACCAGTGCCGAAAGCCTAGTGTAGATTTACTGTAGTCAGCTGATGTTGGAGGAGTGTCTGCCGATGTGTACTCAGGGACCCTGGAGAGCGCAAGTGGTAGATAATGGGAAAGAGAAATACTCAGCACACAGTCAAATACGTCAACGAGAGAGAGAAAAAAAAAACAAAAAAAAAACCATTTGTTGGACTCTCTCAAACCTGATTTCAAGATGTGAAACAAAGGCTGAAGCCCCTCCTGCTGCTTCTGAGCCTGTACCACCCATCCCTGTCGCATCCACCATAAGAAGCTCCCCCTCTGCAACAGATAAGCACTGGACCACCACTGTCCCTGCTGTTTTATCTGCACTTGCTCCTTCTGCTGAATCTCCGGGAGTCTGGTGCGCGTACGCAAACGTATAGACATCTGGAGTTGCATTCCAGCCTTCAATCCCCGCATCCGCGCTTGAATCGGAGCCTTTCGAGCCTGCCACCATCAAGAAACTCCCGAAACCTTAACCAAATAAAAGTTGACGCGGCCGACTAAAAGAGAAAAGAGCATGAAAACTCGTGCTGAGAAACTCATCTCACCCATCTCAACCGAGTCCTACCTGCAGCAATCTCAGCGGCATCAGGGCCGACTGCGAGGCACCTGAAGCCAGATGCCAGAAACGTCGCATGGACTGCAAACGCAACGCTATCTGGCTTGGATTCGAATCTCGGTCGATATGCTCTAAGTAGAGCCAACACAGCCTCGGAACTAGCCATATTAGCGGGAAATTACGGTAAGAGTTATGAGATAAAGAAATGCTGGAATCCAGGAACAAGCAGTGATGCTAAGGGTGGGGCGCAACAAAAACGCGCTAGTTGTAGGTCCTCTCAGCAGCAAGAGCGACTACGTGATTAGAACTTTCGTCAGACTGAACCTCGTTTGCGCGGAATACGGCCATGCAGGGAGGCTAGGTCTAGAATTTAGGATTCACCAAAATGGAAATTCGGGAGGCATGGAGTGAAATGTGGCTGAAGGGGCCAAATCTTGCGACAGAAATCCTCGTTAGCTGCATTTCGCAGCTCGATGTATCGTTTCTCGTTCACGTCGTCTGCCAATCACAACTGCCCAAGAGCCGATCGCAACACCAATTTTGGGCTTCGGTCTGAAGGAGTGCGTGATTCTGAAAGCCAGAAATGCAAAATAGTCAAGTTTGCGAGAAAAACTGTTCGATACACTTCATTGAGGAAATTATAATCAGAACTCAGAAACTGGTTGGACGTGCGCGACGTGAGGCGCTTCCAAACCAGCAGAGCCGCTTTGCCATCCGTTACAGTCATGAAAAAACGATTTCGAGCCAGAAGTTGAAGTCCGGCCTCCCTCGAATACCAACCACCAAGCCCCAAACCACCAGCTTCGTTACCTCTTTCTTCCGCAGCTGACCCATTTCCATGTTTCCCCCAGCCCCGCTGACCAGTCTCCCCTTTCCCGAGTCTCGACCAGCCGCTGCTTCCTAGAGCTGGGGCGGAGCTCGTCTGCCCCGCGTACATGTCTAGGCTTTCCGCCACTTATCGGCAGTGATTAGCTCCGCAGCCTCAACATTGGGCACCGCCATACACTCCATAGGGGCACTTCCGCCAGTCCTTGCCAACTTCCGCCAGTTTCTGGCGAGCCTTCGTCATTTTTCAAGCAGCCCGCCCGCTTTGCTCATTCCCCACACCCTGCAGCAACAGCACGGCATTTCCCCACCTTCTCCCCGATTCTCCCCATCATCCCGCCTTCCCACCCCACCTTCCCCCCCCAATCATCCCGCCAGCCTAACTTCTCCCTTTCAGCCATGGCGGTTGCTCCTCCCTTTAACTGCACCCACTCCAACTCTTATTACCGTCGCCTCGCCTTGCCACCCGCCTTAGTTAGAACTTAAGAACCGCCTCGCGCACCATCCGGACATCACCCGAGTAACAGTCGCTGGCTCTCTGGTATCGAAGAGCGTTCTGCATTGCGTTACTGTTTGCTCCTCGTCCCTCACTTATACGTCGCACGTCGCGATCTTTAGGTGCAAGCTATTTACTTAGCCTTCTCGTATAATATTATCCTGAGACGGAGTCTCGCTTACGCTCTCTATTTTCGCGAGACGCATTACGTCGCTAGCGGTTAACGGAGACTGTGCTATCTAGTGCGTATGGTTCTGCAACCCTAATTGCAGAATAGACCCATGGGTAACTGTTAAAGTCGTATTAGTTGCTGAGCTATCGAGGTAGGTGGACCTATGGGTGGGTGCCTATCTACCCCGAAGGCGACGATAGAGGAGCAGAGACCCAATAACGCACCCCCACCAGGTAAGCTGCCATAGTTCCCGTTTCGTAGCCGGCATGTCTCGACTTCTTAAAATGTTTGCCGCGCATATCTAGCGAGAAGGCAAGATATTGGTGCGAAGAGCGTAATGCCGTAGTTGCTGGCTTCCGTCATTCGTACTGATACTTACTCGTTTCCTGGTACGGTTTTTCGTCCTTTAGTGACCTTATTGTGTTGCCAGCTGGCCAATGTGAGAACGTCGAGACGACTCTTAAGTCGATGTCACTATGAGTCGACTCAGGAGTCATTACAGTATTTCGTGCTTTAGGGGCCTTACCGTGTTGCTAGTTCGCCAATGCGAGAGCGCCAGCTTCCGTTTCTCCGACCGCCGTCGTTTCTCCTATGATAGACGAGTTTTTTTTTTTGCATGCGAAATCACTCGGCTGAGATCCAGCGTCGTGCCATTCTCTTACTACCTCTTTTTCTCCTTTTTAATGTAACGACGGACGCGCGAGCCTTATCCCGGGTTTAAAATCTCATGGCTTTTTCACTCGAACCATCTCCCCTTCACACACTCGTTTCCCCTCCTCCCCTCTCCCCCCCCTTCCTCCCAACAGGTGGCGAGCCGCCTAAAGTTGCTGGGGGTGCGCCCGCTCCGGAGCCGGGAAGCAACAATCAGCAGCAGCAGGAGGAGGAGCAATGGCGGATGCAGCAGCAGAAAGAGCAGGAGGCGCTGCAGCAGAAGCAAGCGTACGAGGCGCAACAGATGCAGGAACAGCAGCAGCTACAGATGCAACAGCAGCAGCAGATGCACTACCAGCAGCAGCAGATGCAGATGCAGCAGCAGCAGCAACAGCAGCAACAAATGTACATGCAACAGCAGCAGCAGCAGCAGCAGTACGGGTCAGATCAGCAAGGGTATAATCCTCAATACGCGCTGCAACAACAAGACCCCCGGTACATGCAGCAGCAGCAGCAGCAGTTACAGTACCACCAGCAGCAGCAGCAGCAGCAGCAGCAGCCACCACCCATGAACCCCTACCAGCAGCCCCCCCATCTAGCCCCCCAACTCCCTCCGGGTTTCCAACAATCCATCCCCGCGCCTATCCCTCCCCGTGGGCTACGACAAGTGAACGAAGAGGAAGAGGTAAACGACGGGCAGGGGGGGTGGGGAGGCGGAGCGGCCGTAGCAGCAGCAGGAGGAGGGGGAGGTGGAGCCGGGGAGGTGTTATCGGGTATCAGGAGCAGCCTGCGGAGCTACAGGAATATTCGTACCAGGATTTAGTTGATGCGACGGAAGATTTTCAGGAACACTCGGTGCTGGGAGAGGGCGGGTTCGGGAAGGTTTATAAGGGGTATGTTTTGGACCGGTTTCCGGTGGAGGGCGGGCCGCCCGTGACGGCGACAGTGGCGATAAAGAAACTGAACCCGTCGGGTTACCAGAGCAAAGTGGAGTGGATGGTAAGAAATTTCGCAGAGCCTTTTATCGATTATCGCTTGAGGGCTCTTCTTCCCCTCGCGCCCGCTGCGTGCCCCTTCCGCTCCGCGCTTTCTCGCGCTCCTCCGCCTGCCCCCCTTCCAGTTTCCCCCTCGCTTCCCTTGCGTCTTCCTGTCGACCCCATGGCGCTCCTCCCTTCGCCCTTTCGCGCGGTTCCCCTAGCATCGTTGCGCTCTTCCCCTCGCTCTCCTTGCGCCCTTTCCCTCGCCCCCCTTGCGCTCTTCTCGTCGCCCTTTCGCGCGTCCGGAATTCACAGATGGCGTTTCTCGTCGCTTGGTTTCTACACCAGTCTTTTCGTGTCAGATTTTACCAGCTGGGAGTTATTTTTCCCGGTCTTTTATTCTATGTTAGTCGTCCTTATTTTTTGGCCGCTCTTTCGACTGGGTTTGTTCAAAACGAATTGTTGTCCCTTTGGTTCACATGCCTGCGTGTGCGACGGCAGAGGGAGATCCTGGTGCTGGGAAGATTGAACCACTCGAATCTGGTGCTGGGTACCTCATCTCTGACAGCTTTCTGAATCGCCTTGTAACGAAACATTCTCCTTCTTCCACTCGCGTGTGACGGCAGAGGGAGATCCTGGTGCTGGGCAAGCTGAACCACCCGAATCTGGTGCGACTGATAGGGTACTGCGCGGAGCTGGAGGAGATGCTGCTCGTCTACGAGTTTGTGCCCCGGGGCAGTCTTGACTACCACCTCTGGCCAGGTGAGCGCGAGTTAGAGCGACGAGGCTGGGTGTTGTTGAGAGTCGAGTCAAGGGTGAACTCGACATTCCCCTCACTGCTCCCCCATGCATATGCCGTACTCCCCTCTGCCCCCAACGTGCCAGCGAACCCCTGCCATGGCCAGCGCGGCTGCACCGGGTGGCTTGGCGCGTGTGCTGAGACGCTTCAAGACACGTCGCGCGACCTTGTCTCGTTTTCCCCTCCGTAACCCCCCCCCCCCCCCCCCCCCAAATATGCCGTTCTCCCCTTTGCCCCCGACGTGCCTGCTGGCCCCCTTCCATGGCTATTGTGCTTGCGCATCACTCACGACGCTGCTTGTGGCTTTGCACCCCTCTGACCGCTCTATGCCCCCCTCCGCTTTCCCTTCTCCCCGCTGCGTGCCCTCAGCCCCCAATGTCCCTGCAGACCCCCTGCCATGGCAAGCGCGCCTGCGCATCGCCCACGACGCGGCCTGTGGCTTGGCGCACCTGCACGCCAGCAACTTCATCCACCGCGACTTCAAGGCGCCCAACATCCTCATTGCCGAGGTATGTCGCTAGCTCCCTTATAGCTCTCAGTGAGTGCCCGCGTGGGCTGCCGAACCATGCCCCACCTGCTTCCCTGCCCCATCTGCACGCCAGCAACTTCATCCACCGCGATCTCAAGGCGCCCAACATTCTGACTGAGGCACTCCTGGCAGCATGTCCCCCCACCCTCGCTTGCCCATTTTGGTTCCCTGGTCCCCGCGCACCTGCACGCCAGCAGCTTCATCCACCGCGGTTTCAAAGCCTTTTTTTGGCACACATCTCAACTCCACCATCACATCCCGCTCTCTAACCCATGCACCCCAGTCTCGCCTCTCATCCCCAACCCGCCCCTTCCTGATTGTTCCAGAACTATTCGGTGAAGCAGACGTTTTTTTAGCTGGTAAGGACAGGCCTGGACTTGAACCTCCTTGAAGTCACTCTAAGCCCACCCCACCCTCACTCCCCGCGTCCCTCTTCCCCTCACCACTCCCCACCGCTCTTCTTGTCTTTCCAGAACTACGCAGGCAAGCTGACGGATTTCGGGCTGGCGAAGGATGGGCCGGATGCGGGGCAGACGCATGTGTCAACGCAGATCATGGGCACCATGGGGTACCTGGACCCGCGATACGCCGAAACAGGTGGGCTTTTCTTGATGGGTTGAAACAAGTGTGATGCTGAGGCAGGTGGTATGGCGAGACAGGTCACATCATATGGTCACATGGTCATGGCAGATGGACGCAGATCATGGGCACCATGGGGTACCTGGACCCGCGATATGCCGAGACTGGTGGGTTGCTTGTGGTGGTGTGAAACAGGTACACTGCTGCTTGCGTGCCCTTCATGGTTGGTGGTTATTTCCTTGCGTTGCAACACACTGCCATTCTCCGGCACCAATGTATCAATCTTTGTTTCTGACCCACCCTTACCTCCGGCAGGCCAGCTGACAGTGAAGAGTGACGTGTATGCCTATGGCGTGGTCCTCCTAGAGCTCCTCACAGGCAAGAAGGCCATGGGAATCAGCCCTGGCGGCAAGCCCAAGACCCTCACTCCTGGGCTCGCCCGTACCTCAACAAGGCTCGGCCGGACCTGGAGTCCCTGGTGGACCCGAACCTGATTGACCCGTTCCCTGAGAAGGTGGCTCGGACGCTGGCTATTTCGGCGAAGCACTGCATCCAGGATGACACCAACATGCGGCCCATGATGAGCGACATTGTCGACACGCTCAGGCCTCTCAACACGGCTATTAATGGCCGCCGCTAAGTGTTCTTCTGGCTCTTAGCCAAGGGTGGTGGCGAGAAGGTGGAGGGAAAGGTGGAGAGGAGGTGGAGGGGAAGGTGGAGAGGAGGTGGAGGGGAAGGTGGAGAGGAGGTGGAGGGGAGGGTGGAGAGAAGGCGGAGGGCAGGGGGGTGTGGGACGACGGCAGATAGCAAGAGCAGTGCGGGGAGGGGAGCGAGTGTGTGCAGCGGAGTTAGATTGACAGACCAGGGCAGTGCCCCCGGGGAGTCAATCTAGCACAGGGCGTGGCGTTTTGAACGAATGACCGTTATCAGTGACTGGCTGAGTGGCCATCAGTCGACATCTGTCGGCTGAGGGGAGATGGGGGGTCTGGCAAGGCAGCTGTAGTGACAAGCAAGGCAGCTGTGGGTATGCTTGATGGATGCGCACCTGAGTCGGGGGAGGTTGAGCAGAAGCGGCTGGAGAGTCCTTTTGCACTGGCCTAGGGTGGGGTGTTCAGCCGTGGTCTTTGCTTGGGTGGTGAGGTGAACTAGGGGCTGTCAGATGTGTGTTTGAGCCTCCAGTTTTGTTATTTGGTGAATATAACATATCAGTGGGTTGTTATGGTATGCGGGTGAGGGGGAGAGGGGGGGGAGGGGGAGGTGGGAAGGGGGGGGGGGGAAATGGGGGGGTGGGGGATGTGACTTGTGAGGGTGTAGTTGACATGTTTCATCTAGCATGGAGCTCAGGTAGTGGGCATGGGATGGAGAGGCACAATGCAGCTGCTTAGGCAACTGGGTCCATGTGGGCCTGGTGGTTGGATAGGACGAAGGGCCCTTTTACAGTGGTGGTCTTAGGAAAGTCTTTGATTAGTTATTTAGGGAGACGGTGGCTGCTCTTTTGTGTCGGCCTTATGTGGCGTAGGAGTGCAGTTTGTCAGCTTCCTCCTGACCTGATGCGCACTTATGATAGGTGAGGCGTTTTGCTCTATTTATTAGAAGGGTGATGGGAGCGCTCACATTTGAATGCAAGTGGGTACGCCATGAATAAGACATTTGTAGGATTAGCTACTATCCGGTATTGTTTTAAAAATTGTACCGTACATCCCTTTAACTTGGCATCTGATCTTACAGCGAGACGTTGCCCACCTCCCTCCAAGCTCAAACCTCGAATCTGCCGAGCCCTTACAGCTGCCAAGAGCCTTTCTTTGCTCACGAGTCACAAGTCACGAGTCACCTCACCACCAGGGGCGATCAGTGAGTCGCTCACTTTCCCTCGCGTCTCGTGCTTCACTTCCCCGCATCTCCTCGTCGCCCTGGTCGCTACTACCGCCGCACTTGCAGGATCCGTCAGTGCTCGCACCCGATCATGCCGGTACGGATCCCCCCCGTTTTTATGCTATTTCGTGCGTGGGGATTGAACTCTCAATGGTGCTTAGATCTCGAATCCAGAGGCGGAGCGCTTCGTACGAGTATAATATTGTTGCACGGATCGCAGCTAGTTCACATCGCCTTTGAGCTAGTTTCCGAAGTTTCCAAAATACCAACTCAACTCGCAGCCAATTCACATCTCCCTTCTTCACGGTCGTGTTTCTCGCAGCCTTGATAGTCACTGATGCTATCTTCAGGCAGCTTGCTAGCCTCGTGCCTCTACCCTTCCATTGATTCAGTTTCCCCCGTTGCAATCTGACCCGTTATTCGCTTTCAGGCGCGCCGGTTGTTGGAAATAGAGCCCCCAGGCCCTTTTCGTTATATTCTGGGCGCGGCGCTGATGCTGGTGGGGGTCGTGCTGCCGCTCACGTATTTCATGTTCCGATCCAAGCGAACTCCGCCTCCTTCGTTCAAGCAGACGTAGGTGTGGTAACCCTATATATTCGCTAGAAGCATGCTGGTGGGGGTCGTGCTGCCGCTCACCTACTCTATGTTCCGATCTAAGCGAACACCGCCTCCTTCGTTCAAGCAGACGTAGGTGTGGTAACCCTATATACTCGTTATAAGCATTTACGCGTGCTGCTTGCTTACGTACGCGATGCAATGTCCCGACCCTATCGTACGCTATTCATCCAGTTTATCAAGCGAGCAGCGGAAGTTTTAGGTCTGGGCAGACCAGTAGGAAATCTGGGCTGCGTGTGGTGGGATACGCCTCTGCACCTTCATCTCTTCACTCCCAGTCTCCTCATCTCTTCCCGCCCAGTCTCCCAGTCTCTTCCGTTCCACCCAGCCAAGCCCTCCTCACCTTCATATTTTTCATTCCAGCGAGATTCTCTTCTCCAATCAAATCAAATCTCATCTTCACTGCGATCTCTCCCCCTCCAGGTTTTAGCCCGTCAACCATTCCGACACCAGACCAGATCTGCCCATCCGTTCACTCTCGAGCTCTCCTTAAAACCAGCTGTCAGATCAGGCTGTCGTTCCGGTTAGGTTTGGGAATCGCAGCCGCCGTTTGTTGCTGACCTCAGCAACCGATCATGGCTCGTCTGCTGGGTGCTAGACCCCTGCCGCCGCTGCTGCGGGTGCTGGTGGCGGTGATGGTGGTGGGGGCGGGGGTGGCGGGGGTGAGGGGCCTGTATGAGGACCAGGTGGGGACGTACGACTGGTACCAGCAGCGCATTGGCCGGGCTCGCTTCGCGTCCTTCCTCACCTCCTCGCAGCGCAAGCGCGTGCTCGTTGGCACGGATAGGAACGTCGTTGCTGCGCTAAACCTCCGGACAGGGGATATCGGTGAGTGAGCGGGTGTGAGCTGTGCTGTGCTGGTGTGAGGTTTCTTGTGAGTGCGAGTTTTGGTGCTCTCCTCGCCTCCTCGCAGTGCAAGCGCGTGCTCGTGGGCACAGATAGGAGCGTCCGTTGCTGCTCTGAACTTGCGGGCAGGGGATATTGGTGAGTGAGTGAGCCAAGGGGTGCGTTGATGCATTGCACAGCCCACGATAGGCAAGCGAGCAAGCGCGAGCTCGTGGGCACAGATAAGAACGTGATTGCTGCGCTGAACCTGCGGGCAGGGGATATCATCAGTGAGTAGACGCGGTGACTTTTCACGTTTTCCTGCACCTGATTTTATCGGTGAGTTGATGCTTGTACTGCCGCTGTTCTCTTTCTTCAATGTGTCTCCCCCTCTCCCTCTCCCCCTCCGCCTCCCTCCCGCTCCCCCGCGCCCCCGCTCCCCCCCTTCCACCCCATCCGTCCTCCTTTTTCCCCCCCGTCTCCTCTCTCTGCCAATATGCCCCCGTCCCCACGTTTTCGCTCTGGTGCAGCGTGGCGTCGTGTGCTGGGGGATGCTGACACCCTCCACGCCCTGGATATGGGCGGCCGATGTGAGTGGCTGGAGGGATATGGGCGGCAGATGTGAGTGGATGGAGGGATATGGGCGGCAGATGTGAGTGTTAGGAGGGATGTAGTGGGGAGGGATGGAAGCAGGTATGAGTCGAGAGGGGGGAGAGGGAGGAGATGTCCCGACATCCCCCACACCCTACCCCGCCCCCCCCCCCTCCCTCTCCTGTTCAATATTTGTATCCAGGCCTTGTCACAGCAGTGAGGGCACCGAGGAAGCAGCGGTGAGGGCACCGAGGTAGCAGCAGTGAGGGCGTGGGCTGTGCCCGACAGTGCTACTAGGCACCTCAACTGTTCACTTCTTCACGTCCATTTTACTCTGCCCCTCTTTTGAGCCGGCTCAAAAGTCACTAGGCGCCTCGAATGTTCGCTTCTTCATGTTCCTTTTACTCGGCCCCTCTTCCAGGCCTTGGCACAGTGTCAGGCACCGAGACGGCAGCAGTGAGGGCGTGGGCTGCGCCCAATAGTGCCCTTGCATGGGAGATCTCGTCACTGTGTCAGGCACTCAAACAGTCTATTTTTGAGGCGCCTAAAAAATTGTTTCCGTTGCAGATCTCGTCACTGTGTCAGGCACTCAAAAAAGCAGCAGTGAGGGCGTGGGCTGTACCCGATGGTGTTGCTGGGCCCCCAGCTCTTTTCGTCACCCCTGCTAAATCTATCCCCCCCCCCCCCCTTCCAGATCTCATCACTGTATCCGGCACCAAGATGGCAGCAGTGAGGGCGTGGGCGGTACCCGATGGCGCCCTTGCATGGGAGACCGCCCTACTGCTGCCTTCGGCTGCTGCTTCGACAGGAGGGGCTGTGACTGCTAGTTTCATCACCATTTCGGTGAGTTGGCCTTATGCTCGGGTTTCGTTAAGAATTGACTAGTTTTGAGACGCCTCAAAACTAACCTACTTAACTTGGGCTGCTGCTGCAGCAGGAGGGGGTGTTACTGCTAGTTTCATCATCATTTCTGTGAGTTGGACTTGTGCTCAGTCTCTTTCACAGTTGACTCATAAGCTACCAGGAGTGAATCTCCTGGTAACCTGCCATGCAGTTCTTGCCCACCAGTCTTGGATTGCCCACCAGTCTTGGATTGCCCACCAGTCTTGGATTGCCCACCAGTCTTGGATTGCCCACCAGTCTTGGATTGCCCACCAGTCTTGGATTGCCCACCAGTCTTGGATTGCCCACCAGTCTTGGATTGCCCACCAGTCTTGGATTGCCCACCAGTCTCGGATTGCCCACCAGTCTTGGATTGCCCACCAGTCTCGGATTGCCCACCAGTCTTGGATTGCCCACCAGTCCGTTCTCACTTCTAGTCACCTCGTATTGTAGCCCTCTCCTCTTGCATGCGCTGTCCGAGTCCGTCCTTCACCTTTGCATGTGCGAACCGCCCCTCTCACGAGAACCGCCGCTCTCTCCTGGGGTCTTGAGAAGTCTCACGCCTTTGCATGTGATGTTCCTACCTCACATCTGACCTGATGCCCCCTCTGCATGTGTGCTCCACTCCTCTCTCCTCAGGCCCCTGATGCGCCTTCCACAGACCGAGTGGTTGTCTTACTTGGGGCAGCATCAGCAGCAGCAGCAGCAGCAGGGTCCAACCCAGCAGCAGCAGCATCTGCCGTGCATTGCTTGTCAGCTGCTACTGGTGAAGTGCTCTGGTCAGCCGCCCTGCCCACACCAGCGCACAGCATCTCCCTCCTCCCCCACGGTTCTATCCTCCTCACTGCCCTCTCCCCTGACCTCTCCTTCTCCCTCACCACCCTCGATGCCGCCTCGGGAAAGGTCACTGCCTCTGCTTCCTCTCCTCCTTCCTCCTCCTCCTCCGTTTCCTCCTCTTCCTCTTCCTCTTCCTCTGCTCCGATTCCTGGTCCTGCTGCTGCCTATGTCACTGCTACAGGCACTGCTGTTGCTGTGGATTCTGTGTCTGGTAACGTCCTCACTGCTGTGCTGGTTACATCTGCTACAGCAGATGCCACAGTGGGCGCTACAGTGGGTGCTACAACTGATGCTACAGTGCACGTGCGCAGTACGCCCCTCGCCTCTCTCCTACCCAAGGAGCACTACCAGTCGGGATCTTCAGCTACAGTGGTGCCAGAGAAGGCTCCAGGAAGCTTCGTCTGGCTGTCAGTGCCTGGAGCTGTGTTCCTCCTGTCAGCAGGGGGAGCAGGACAGGCTGAGTCAGCGGGACAGATGTCACTCGTTGATTCGTTCCCTGGAGTGAGCGCTGTTAGTGCGAGTGTTGTGGGAGGAGCAGCAGGGGCAGGAGGAGGAGGAGAGGGAAGGGAAGGGGGGGAGTATCACTCTGGTCTCGTGGGATCGCAAGGTGGTGGCGATTCCCTGAAGTTTAACATCAAGGTGAGTTGTGATTTTTGAGTCGACTCAAAAGGTGATTTTTGAGTTGACTCAAGTATCACTCTGGTCTCGTGGGATCGCAAGATGGTGGCGATTCCCTGACATTTAACATCAAGGTGAGTTGTGAGGAGAGGTGTTGCGAGAGGGGTGTTTGCGTGTGTGAGTAGTAAGGAAAAAGGGGGGAGGGGGGAGAAGGGGAGTTCACGTACGTGGATGTGTGTGTGTGCTCACTTTTGAGTCAACTCCAAAACGTACGTGGATGTGTGTGTGTGCTCACTTTTGAGTCGACTCAAAAGCGTACGTGGATGTGTGTGTGTGCTCGCTTTTGAGTTGACTCAAAAGCGTACGTGGATGTGTGTGTGTGCTCGCTTTTGAGTCGACTCAAAAGCGTACGTGGATGTGTGTGTGTGCTCGCTTTTTAGTCGACTCAAAAGCGTACG